GTAAACAATTAACAATTGATCTAATTTATTCATTGCTAAGTCTCCCTATTGTGATTTATAATTTGCCTATTATGATTTATCATTATCACCTCTCTCACATGTTTAAACTCATTTAGATGTCTAATTAAAGAATAATAATAATCAATAGTGAATCACTGATCTAGTGAATCCTGCTGGAATTCATACTTTTAATAATCAAATAATAAATTATGTTCCCTCTCGTATTATGATTTAAAAAATATGATTTTAAAATATCCCATATTATCACCAACAGCTTTGTATAGAAACTATATGATCAAGGATGATATTACAAATACAATAATATAATTACTGAGTACAAAATAAATAGTTGAATTAATGAGTCAATTGAAGGTAGACCACCATGGAAAACCTGACCGTCCAGTACTTCCATGTTTTCCATGGTGGTCTAGCTTTAATTGACTCATCAACTCAAGTAGGAAGTTACTAAAATCTCCACAAATTTTCCTTCTGAGAAAAATACTCATTTTTATAGAATACTTGATATTATAAAACCTTAGAATATATTTTTACTTAGAAGTTGAATGCTTGTTTTGGTCAAAATACTTTTAAATGAGGTAATTATAAATATAGCATTTTATATTGTATTGAAATAATACTCATTTTCAATGTTATATCTCGATGAGAATTATGAATGGTAATTTTTGAGGACTATTTATGGACAGAAACGATACATATATTTTTAATGTATAGTTGTTAAGTAGCTAGACTATGCATATTCATGTTCCTCTTAATTAAAAGCTTTATTTTGACTCGTAGACTATTATTAAACGACTTGCCGTTCTTGAGTTATGCCCAGTTTTTTAATTACAGTCTCTCACAATCACAACCACTTTTCGAGAGATCTTGTACAAATGCTATTTTCTATTTTATGGTACAACGTGGTCTGATTGACTTGTATATAAACCCAATTTGTTTGTAATAAATGATTCATATTGCAGAGGCTGAGGTTAGTGTTCTGGATTCAACAGGCAAGGCTAGACAGGAGGAAGGACCGATAGGGACTCTAAACTGATCGTACGGGTTTATGCGCCGTTGGTCCGGTCGATAAGGCACTGCTAACCAATTGACGGTATCATTACTTTATATACTAATAGGGCATAAGGTCACAAGTTATAACACTTAACACATCAGTTAAATTATCTATAAGTTTACCATTTCTTTTCTCTTGTATATAAATCGTAAATATGGTAAGATATCTGAAAGTTACAAAATAATTCCAGTGTTTGATTATTGATATGAATGAATTTTTCTAAGTAACCAGCTTACAGGACTTACAGATTCTTATTCAATATCTACAAATGAAAATTGCATGTTTAACCATGATGAGGCAGGTAGTACTGATGTATGTCAAAAAACTCAAACGTTTCATGGTTTACTTTAAATGTAGTCTCATGTTTTCAGTATTTCTTTAATATGGTATAACAATCTATTCAAATCTGTTAAATAATCTTTAAAATACTACTGTGAGAACTTATATTATTCAAATGGAAACCGAAAAACAAAACAGAAACTGAGATAGAAAATCAAAACTAAACATCTCAATGTGATAATTTACCACTTCACAACTTTTAACTTAAAAGAAATAAAGGGAAAATGAATTAGCGACAAACACTACTTGCATATAAAAGCCAGGAATTGAAGACAGACAAATAAGCATCTTACAATACTGATTTCACTCCAATTTCATAACGATATTTTTACTATACAAATTGTCACTATTCTTTATTAATCGTATATATATATATGGCCGAAATTTTCGGTATTTTTCAATAAAACCACATGTGTACAATAAGTGATGTAATATATTAATTCACTTCAGTGACTAGACACGGTTTTTTGGATTTCATTTTATTTCGTATTCCAGTACATTAGAATTTTTAGGTAGTTATTAAGTTGTTTTTTTTACACAAATTTCACAATACATGAAAATATCACTACTGAAATGCAATTCAGCAATATGGTATATAACTGAAACCATACTCTATAAAAATTTCATATTTCTGATTCAAAACAACCAAGCTATCACTTTATTCATTTTATTCTCTAATATCTTTTAGATTTTTTTATTATCTGATATGTATACATGGTGGAAACTGTCTTCAGTTACTTGATATCGTTAGAAGATTGCAAAATAATTTATTTCCCTATTTGTCATCAATACGGAATAAACTAACTTTATAATGATGAATGTCTAGGGAACAAAAAGATAAAAGTATAAATAAATTATGATGTGACAATGATTCTACAAAAGTTATGTTTGATCTAAAAGCTTCCTTTTTAACCTATATTGTAAATCTTCATTTTGTTCATTATTACGAATCTGGTGATAATGAATATTCCATTAACTTTAACAAGAAAAAAAAGCTTTTATTACATCGAAAGTTAGTCTTAAATAAATGAACTCATAATTCAATGATCTGTTTTATTTCAAACGAAGTCATGATGAACAATGAAATGAAATAGATTATGGGATTATTTTGAATAATGTATAAGTTTTTCTTTCAGATAATCTTCCATTTATCAATTGTCAGTAATTGATATATAAAAAAAATATTGACTGATTTATTAAATAAATCAAAGTATCGTTATATTCATTTATTCTAAATGAAAAAGAACAGAAAAACAAAAGAAATTTTCGTTATATAATTGCTCATTTATAGCGTAGTTTTAATTTCAAGTTATCCTATGACTGATTTATAAAGTTATGGAACATTTTTCAAAAAAACAAATCACCTTGTAGAGGCCAGTTCCCTCTATATCTGATTCCAATAAATGATATCCCGTTAACTGAGTGTTTAAGGTAGGCTAAATCTCCTAGTAGAATTATGGATTTACTCGAGATTATTCAGAAGCCTGAACAACACCAGTTATAGAGATAGTTTATTGTTAAAGATAAATAAAATCCGCAATCGTACAGCGAGCAAGCACACTGTGAAACCAAGAGCCTGTGTGTGTGAGTTAAAAATCCATATATATTTTTGAATGTCAATCAAGTGTGGATAAATTTCAATAGCTAAGATCATGAGTCAGTTGAAGCTAGACCACCATGGAAAACCTGGAAGCACTGGACGGCCGTTTCGTCCTATTGTGGGACTTCTCAGCAGTGCGCATCCACGACCTCGTCCCCTGCGAAATTATTGATTATCTGTATCTTACAACCAATAGGACAATAGATTAAGGATTGATGTGCAGACACATGCTCAATCATGCACATACAGAAATTAACATAGTGAATTAAGTGTCTAAATTACAGTGAGTAGACAAGTAATACAATAGTTGAATGGGCTTGCTACAACCTAATCCATACAATATGATTGACTTTCAAGCATGAAACATTTAAAAAGAAACGATTTTTATGTTATGGAATTTATGATCATTAACTAATTAGATCTAAACTGTGATCAACATTCAAACAGTCAAAACAAATTTGTCATTCATATTAAACTTATTGTTTATCTTTTATAATTCTAGGAGATTTAAGTTATATACTTTATTAAAGTTGAAATCTGATTATCCATAAGTATGTAATATTAGTTATTTAAATGCAAATTCATATGGTAATCAAAATAAAAACAATCTTATGACTAGTAGTTCTTTTTTCATTTAAAAGAGTTTGCACGAATTGTACACTAGTTAAACACTAAGCTTTTGCAAAATAGGAAGTTATGTAATCTATTAACATACGTTTAATCGTCCTTGTGTAAGCTAAACTTTTTGTTCTGTCATAAGAATAACACTAATAATAACTTTTGACAAACAGAAGGAAATATTATTTATGGATATAAAACTTCAAAAGCATGAACAATGTCGAAACTAATATATATTTGAATTCCATTGGTAACATCATTGAATAATTTTAGTTAAACAATTGTTGAAGAACAAAAGGCAATACAAAGCTGATTAGTTATAGTATCGGGCTTGCCAGCAGTGCGCATCCACGGTCATGCCATTAGGATTGGACTCAAGATTTTCGGTCTCATGATGATGAGGAGTTTCATAACAGGACAGAACAGTTATTTAGGGTTTCCTGATTCTCAACGGTTGTTTAACTAAGATTATTTCGTGGTGTGAACTATGAAATTCAGTAATCTTCTCAACACCTTTAGATTGTAATTGCTCATTTGGATTGCATTGTTGCAACAAACATTAAGAAAATCTCTTGATTAACTGATAATTTAGATTTATGATAACACTTAACTTATTAAAAAATGTCACTTATTTTGGGATCATACTGAATCTCTCGATCTCCTGTCATCTGATATTTGAAAAGAGCATATTTCTGTTATTGAATGTAAATCAATGCAAACATTACTGTCATTCTTCTAATCGGACAGTAAATCAATGAATATGAAACTTAATCAACGATATATATACATATCTGAACATATGTCTTGCTAAATTACGTTTCATTATATTTTATAAACGTAAGTATCCTTGTAATTCATATTATTGTTCACATATGATAAAGTGCTTTATATTGTTACCAGACTTAATTTGAAAAGTGTAATAATGTACAGATTTCGTGTTACTAGACCCATACTTTTGATAATATTTGAAATACATTCTTCAACTAACCTCTACCTTATGAGAATTTATTTCCCTACTAATGGAACAATTCTGAATCTTATTTGATCTCTTCTGCATACACATACATATTAAGGCTGTGGGATTCTTTAATTCAAACAAGAAAGTAATTGACTATTTATTATACAGTAGTTATTAGCCAATTTATATAAGTTTTTAAGACTTCCACATATTTCAATCAACCTATTGTTATTAATACTACGTACAAATTTTTGATAATTTTAAGTTACTCTTTAACCTTATTCATTCGCTCAAGTCATTAGTTCAAATAGTTACGAAACAATTACAGTTAATTGAAGCACAGATGTCTTTAATCATTTTGTTGATAAAGTTATTATTATTATTACTAATGTTTCTTTTAGATATTTCAAAAGATGAATGGCATCATTTTGACTGGTTCATTGTTCTTAAGTTTATGCAATATGGCAATGATGCAAATTGTTGTAGAAAAAGTTCCATTGATAAATCATAAACAAAGTGAGTTATAGCACATGCTTAGAAAGGTAATTCAATTATGATTTGGTGTCCTTCTATTTCAAACCATTTCCTTTCCATTTAGTACACATTCGTGATAAAATGTGGTTAACTATAGAACTTAGGACATCGGTTTCGTCATTTTTCGGACTCATCACTTACGAATAACCAAAAGCCCATCAAGAATATCAAAAACGGGATAATTCAAGACGTCATAAATCAAATTATTACCTTATTTTGGTGAGATCAGTTTGTGTCAAAGAGTGTCAGTCATTTAATCTTCTACAATACCCAACTAAAACTTACTTGTATATTTCGTGCAAAAATCGAACCGAATCGATAGTGTATCAAAGACAAAAACACTGTATATCTTGTATTCAAATGACAAACGTGTTGCAACAGTCGATGAGAGTCTAATCAACCTTAGAATCTGATTAGTAATTGGATTGGCTTACTCAGAAACTCTGGGCTAATCTCCTTTTGCAAAAGAGAAACTAAACAAATTCAATAATCCTACAGCAGTTTATGATTATTGTTCACTTTCTTCTATTGCCAAACGTTGATTGGAAAGTGACTACAAAGATGTATCATTCGGTAATTCAAACAGTTGCAAATTTTGACCAGTTAATCAGTTAGTCAGTAAATCATGATCAACAAAAAATCCGAGCACATATGTGGATTGACCTATGTTGTTATACCACATTTATAATTATATAAACATCACACCCATTGAACAGGTTAGTGATTATGTAGAATAAGTATCTCAGTGGATAACATGGTGTGTGAAACTAGATATACTGAGGTTAAGTCCCACCGTGAACATAAACTCTAGGATACAAGTACATCCAGCAGATAAGTCCCAGTTAGAGTGAGATCTCCTTCCTCGATTTCACTAAATATTCACAGAATTGCTCTAACTCCGTCCATTTATGTATATAGCTGATTAGAAGAATAATTATATATATATTGAAGCTCGGGTCATGGAAACATTTTCAATCTTTCTAATATTTTAGAAGACAGCTTTGACAATAGCTTTTATCTACCCAAATCATTCAGCAGTATATGTATGCTACAGTTAAAATATACAGTGTGAATGATGTCAGTTAGACTGTATGACATTTATATTGCAACATATATATTTTTAGATGAAACTTCACTTGAATTTGGTGGAATAATCTTCTCCTTGCTCCAGAACTCGACCGTAAAAATACAATATGGAACGTGTTCAACTATAATGGACCTCTCACCAGTAACTCCTACAGAAAACGCAACACGAACTGGTACTCGTTCCATAAACGAGTAAGTTTTACTTTAATTGTACACATTCTTTTTATAACTTCACTGAATAGTATTCAACAAAACTTAAGCTTGGTCAACGGTTTATTATTTGAATAATCTAAGTAATGTAACGTAACTTGTTTAATAACTTCAAGTGCTCGTCGATTTGAGTCGTACTTTCTGTTTGAGGAGTAACATTACCTACTAGTCAACTGCCAAAGTCAAAATAGGTTAAACACTGTTCTAGTCTGATAATCAGCGGTTGACATTTGAATCTAACTGTTTACTTGACAATGAAATGAGCATGGATGATAATTTATTGATAACATGTTATATGGTATGAGATATATTATTGTCATTTTCAATTATTCTTACTCTTCTTCTTCTTCTTCTTCTTTATTATTATTATTATTATTATTATTATTATCATTATTATTATTATGTTCTAAACAAAGTGATATAGACTTATCATTAACTAAAATGCTGAAGTTTTACGGTCGCATCATCAGCATAGTTGTTGAACTTGGGAGCTTTATGAAACAGTTGAACTTAGTTATTCACTGTCCAAATTCATCATAATTATAATCGATTTCAGCACGATAATGATACAATAATTAAACACTGAATTCTAACTAAATTCATGTTCTTCAGTCCTTAATGTTGATCAAATCCAATCATTAAAGTTGCAATGTAGTTGGTAGTTTAAGTGACTGAACATCGTGGTGCAGCATATTTGGTGTAATATAGTTGGAGAAGATGGGGGGGGGGGAAGCCATCTATTTGGGTTTTGTTTTACGTGCGAACCTGACACACATGTACATCAGCCCAAATTACCGAGCCACCTAAACACAACTAGGTAAAGTTATCAAAAATACTCAAACAATGTGGTCATCGGCAAGAGTAAGAAAAAGATGGCTAATATAATTAAGGAAGGGATAAATTGTTTACCGAATAAAACTTGTTAAATAATTTTAAAAAGTAGGATATATGGGTAGATTATCAGAAACTAGATCTACATCACAGGGATCAATACTTTCCCATGTCATCCACCATCTCAAATCACTGGTTGTCGTTATTTGGTAGACCCCTACCAAGTATTCCGCATTTACCAACATATCTCATGCCAATACTCAGTGACTTCATGGGCCCCTTAGCTTTCCGATGGCCTATTCCTACGCCAGACAACAATCAGTATGGAGGTATGCGATGCTTCAGTGTATCCCAGCCTCCTCAGTTGTGCACGATTTTCATTTAATTTCATGAGTTTGTTGCTCTCTGCATCTAGTCATGAACCACTCCTGTAGTCACAGTTTATCATTGGATCTATTTAAACTTTATGTCAAAGCCAGTCATTAATAAACAAAAGATTCCTGAAAATTAAAAATTTCGACTCATTTTTGCATTGTTTTTTTGAATCTTCCCACTGACGTTTAGGACTGCAATTTATCAGTATTTTATCGGCATATGTGGACCCTGTGAGGACTATCTCTATATTGTCTTAAGTCATAAGGGTTATAAGCAGAAATAGATGGTGATTATTAGTAGAATTTAGAGCGCGTGTTTCGTTTTATTTGGAGTTCGAGTCCCGGAGTAAATATCAACTCTGAGACCTAGGTATATCCAGATGACGAGTCTGAACTAGGGCAAAACACCTGTCCTGGATTCCACTTCTAACCACCATCCATTTCTGATTATTAAAAATTGGACTCTAAACGTTTATATTTATTAACTTGCATTAATCTACTGCTCTATTTCTTACTTAAAATCATCATTAATTTTCATTAAGTAATTGTTCGGTAAAGAAGAGGACACCAAGAAGGCAGAAAAATCCTGAATAAACATTTCAAAATTTATCTCATTTATAAATAATAAAACCAAAGGCGGGAATGAAAATAAAGAAACAAAATTGTGTACTGATAAATCATTCAATCAATGAATAAATCTTCAAAGGATGCTTTTTTAAAATACATTTTGATACTTTTGATTTTTAAAAGAAAATATTACATCCTAGTTCAGTTTACGTTTTTTTCAATGAAACATCCTAATGTATAGATTATTAGTTATGAGATTCATTTAGGCAAAGACCTAAGTTCCCATTGCTAAAAGTTATCAGCTTACAAGATTAGGTGAAACCATTGGCCGTATTCACTAGTTCGAATCCGCTTCCACAAAACATAAGATTAGTGGTAAACAGTTTTTGATACGTGAGTAACACATCAGTAAAGATTCTATATTCAATATATTCAATAATAAAATCTCAGGGATAAATATCTGGAGCATATAACATCTGGTATATTATTTATATAAACATTATTTCAGAAGATTCTCATATGATGTTAAAAAAGACCTACATAAGCTAGTGCAGTGTCACTAAAAAGGACAAAAGTGATAATCTGTAATATTTATCTCTTATGGTTGGATGGTGTTCCAAGTTGTATAATCATTTCAAGGTTTTTATGAACTTGTAAGTTAACATGGGATGAAAATAAAGTGTTCAAATGTGCATGCATTAGTTTGGGAAATACAATATTTAATATTGAATCATCTCTTGAACGTTTAAAGTCTTAATACAACACTGCCATAATAACATCAAAATCAACAAAATACTGCATTCATCAGTACAACAGAACTCAATATCTCTGAAAATATTCAAGTTGAACAACTGAACGAACTTTTATTTCCGGACGAGAATCTAAAACTTTTATAATGTGACAGAGCATTAGATTCTCACAAACTCCAAGTGGTTTGAATAAATTTTATAAATTTTGTGTTGGTGCTGTTTCACAGATTCTTCCAGGGATAAAAACAAACTTAATCTTTCATCACTAAGCTGAGTTACATTTTACAATTTCAACCACAGAGCCTGAAAGGTGCATGTTTGATGAAAAAGTTCAAAGAATGCAAGCAATTAGTATACCCAATCGAATAGATAAATTCATGCATGCTGAAATAAGCAAATGTATGTCTCTAATCTCTACGCAGTCGTAAAACTGGAATCATGGCAGAGGTCATTTGTAGTTATATGATATAAAAATTCCGTAAATTACGCTGGCCTATTTAAATCATAAGCTTAATTCGATAACATCGATTTGCAATCAGGTTTGAGAATGTGTCAGATAACTGAAGCGGAACTGGAAACCACCAAAACTGTTATTAAATGCTATATTAACTACTGTAACCGTACGGTTTGATAATCTACAGCCTCTTGACAGCGATATTCAGTATATTGAACACTAGGTTGTAAAATGTATACGAGTAACTGAAGTCACTTTTTCAAGAGAGGTTCTATAATTGAACAAGGGTCGTTCAGCAATTAAGGATGGAATGACAGAACTCAGTGTTACTTATACGGTATTACAAACAAATAGGAGCAGTCCAACCAACATGGAGATGAGCAGACAAATAGCCTTTAAATATTCTGATTTTGCAGAATCCATTTATTCACAAGTGAAGAAAAAATGCTCCAGAATAAACTGCGTACAGTCGATAATCAACAGCTAGATTCACGATGATCACGATGGGTTATCGGATTGGATCATACTGTTCTTGCATGGTTTACATAAGAACTGACCATCCTTGTCACACTAATACTGGCACAACTTTAATATTTTGAGGTAAGTCTCATTAGAACGAATACCAAAAATCAGTAAACAAAAAGTCATCAGTAACTCAGAGGTGGGTAATTATGTAAAACAGTACCATGGATTGAAATCCAGTCAAGTATTATGTCTTCCTACAAAGCAAAGTATAGGGTGACGTACCAGCCTCTTAAGGTAAGCCATTTGTCTCTTCCGGCAAACAATACTGTTCTTCAAGGCACACATGTCCGTCATTAGTACGTGTTTTCAGGCGGAAATCGCGACAACCCCTGGGTATTGACGCGCGAGCATCTGACTTGGGACAAGTATACGTTACATGAATACCGGTAACACTTAGGTTTTCACTTATGCATCTCGTGATGCACACATCGGTATACTTTTCCCTTGGGATGGTAGATGGTCACTACTTCCTTCAATTGTATTTGCTTCCACTTTCAGGTACCTATGGGTCACATGCATACCACTGGTACCATGAGCTTGCGCTCATGCACTTCATAACATACACAAAGGTACAAGCAATTTTAAGGGAGGGAACGTGGCTACCACTCCCTTTGCTTGCATTTACTACCCATCTCATTTTTGTTTATTTTCAGACCTGCGCTTTTTTTGGTTAAGCCAATTTTTTGTTATGGGGCAGACTATCCTTTAGGCTGAGCTCGCTATGCGTACCCTTTACTTACACACACACACACACAACTACACATGTCGAGACTGATGTAATTCATACCCATACATACATACTCATAGGGCAGGTCTTTACGATTTAGCTAAACAGCTGATATATTTGCAAAATTAATAATATAAACCGATCCTACTTGCAATTCACTCATGAAATCTAGATTTAAAGACTTAATATGAATTAGACAGATTATTTTTTTATAAATGTAGCTCACTCACCTATTTTGTTGTCCTGATAATTTTTAATTTCAAGTAGATAAAATTCAATATTTGAATAGGGTAATCATCATTATGACCCAAAATCTACTCAGTTTGTTCCATTTTCTCATGAAGAAGAGTAGTAAAGTGTAATCAAATGTAAAAAAAAGTGTTAGAAATAATTAGACTGGTCTTATTTTTACTGATATAAATATTCAAAAATTCAACTATACTTCATCTTAACGCTAGAAATGCCAGCACAATCATTAAAAGTAAATTTCACTGTATTCATTCTGTGGACATTGAGCTTAATTACAGCTGAAACAAACTTCTATACAATACCAATAATAGTTGATAGAATGGGTATGTGAATTGTTCTCTTATCATTTTTGTAATTTCTGTATTTGTATTTGATTGACTTATGTCACTGGTAAACTTAGGAGCAACATTACTAATATTATACATTTAAATGAATTGTTTTTCTCTCAAGAGAGGATAAGATTGTGTATAATACAGTATATACTATTTCGTTAGTTGTAAACACTTTAGACAAAGTAGTTGTTATGGAAAAATTTAAAAATCAACTATAAATTTTTTAAGGTACCCAACAGGCACATTGTAACTCGATGTCTAGAGTAATTTGTTTTCAGAAAAAATCATACTTGTTTTCCATGATATTACATTTCATGTTACCATTTTCTATCGGCTAGTAATGGAATCATTAAAACCCATCATATTTTATAAAATACACCAATCAGATTCAGTTGACTTGCAACGAGTGTAATTTTCTTACTGAAAATCTAGATCAGAACTTACAACCACAAATAACAAAGTGTTATCCATGGATTACTGATTTATGATGTTCACCTCTTTAATTATAGGAGAAGTCTCTACTATAATATAGATTAAACAAATCTATCAAAATATCCATACGGATTCACTATTCACTACCATCATATAAAACAGTGGTAAATATTTATTTGATATTCGTAATCAGTCATTCATTATCCGAAACTCTCTTAATGTATTACTGTTTTTGAGAGTTCTGCATTCTGCCCTGAGCAGTCATTAAACCAGTAGCATCTGACTAGCGAATGCTAAATGTAGCTTTGTTATTTACTCAGTGAGTAGATCGGCAAGGAGTACATTTTACACTGAGGTCATTATATCTTGATGACTGCATTTTAATGTATTTTATGTGTTCAGATGAATGTTATTCACAAACGTTTATTGAAAACGTAAGACAATAAGGTCACTTCTCTTAGTCTGAAAATTCATATCGGTATGTACACTCAGCCAGTAAACTTTAAAGTTTACGATAATTGTCATAACTAAACTTCATTATCATTATGTTTGATAGTTAAGGAATATCAATTTAATTCACAGATTTTCTTTAGATATAATCAGCAGAATTACACTTATTTGATAGACATTACACAGAATCACATATGTCACAGTAATTATCTGTAAATATTTACGTTATAATTAAAAGAGCTGTCGCTTTTTTACATCATATATCTTTTTGTTTAGGTACAATGAAATTTACGTTCAGTGAAGTGAACGTATCATTCACATTAGATCGAACATTAACACTCCAATGTAAACAGCGTACAACAGTACTAAAACTAACACCACCAACTAAAGAAGAGAAACGGGCGCACGGTGGAAATCGTCCATGTTCATTGTAAGTTAAATGAATTCGGTGGGCGTATATTATTCAAGAGTTTAACTCACATTAATTCTTTCTGACATTTTGTAGCCCTATAGTGGATGACTTCAGTGTTTACGACGATGATTCGTCTGTCGAAAAAATAAGTTTATGAAGCCGTTACAATAAAGAGTCACTAAAGACAAAAAATTCTCATTTCATAACATGGATTGATTTTAGGTAGACAACGTTTGAGAAACAGAAAGCACTGGACAGCTATTTCGTCCTAACATAAAACGTCTTATCAGCTATTGAGTTGAGAGCTCAACCTTTGAACCGCTGATTTATATTGCAGTACATTTGATCCAGACATCGATATTAAAGCTCTCTATGTGCGTGTCCAAACCAACTACTTAAGTGAAAAATACAGAAGACAAGTAAGAAGCTTCATTGACCGAATAGAGAACCTAATAGAGAAATATATGCACACCCTTTCATATCTAATTGATGTTACTCAGTGTGTTAAGCTACAAATCTAACGACCTTCACAACTTCCTACTATTATGTCCACTACTTATTTTTGTTGGATGTTTAACTGGACTGTGAGTGGTACAGGTAGAACCCGAATTTTATGACAAGTAATGAGAGGAAAAAGACTCTTGATAAGCATTTATTCGACCATAGAAATATATCAAACTGATGTTTGGACACACCACTCATTATTATGATTTATTTACGTTTAGATTAACATTCAGGTTGTATGAATTGAATTTAGTAGTAAATAATAATTAATCAATAACTGACTAGTTGAATACTTATTTACAATAACATACAATCAAGCATTCATGCTCAACAGATCTATCTAACTGATCAAGTCAAACAATAACTACTCAAGATGTTATTCAATGCCAAAGATGATCAGTTTTATATGTCAGTCGAAGTCTAATCAAGTCATTGCTCACTATATCACCTATATTAACAGTTATCAATTAAATCTAAACATTCATAAATATGGATATTAAGATATGAAAAATAACTAATTAACGATTAGAAAACGACCAAAACTGATTAGCTACATAAGTTCTGTGTCAAGGTATTTTATAATGCAGGACATTGTTGACTAAATAAAATCTATCGCTGTCATTCCTACAGTAGTATTTTCATTTTAAATTCTTTTCAGTACATTGCACAATAGTTCCCGTTCCTAACGAAATAACTGCAGGAAGAAAGTCATGCAAGTTTATTCTCAAAACGCCGAATTCAATTCGTAGTAGCATTTGTCTTAGAAGTAACGCTAGTGATATTATATATTTTCTGAATACATTCTATTTTTGGCCTAAATAGTCTTTTCTTTTGGTTTCTGTCTGACGGGCTCAAAATTAAAAGAGATATATCATGCATAATCAACTTCACATTGTCCATAAATGAAAACCTAGATTTTAAATACAATGGTCAGAAGTATAGACTTGTTGGGGTAGTATATGATTAAGACAGTACATGGGGCTTGTGAATTCAAAACAGATTTTAACAGACAGATGAAATCAAAAACAGATGAATTGTAATTACCTTATTACTCTCTACAGTCTGGTATCTTTTGAAGTAAATTATTAATTTTATTTACCTCATAACGCCACAATATTGAACTCAGGAACAGAAAATAAGTTTTAAGCTAACTCTAACTGTTTTCAATTTTTCGGTTGTCTTCTCATTTGTGAATAAATTCTTCGCCATTTACTAATGATTTTTGTAAGAACAATACAATCAATCTCGTCTTCTTTTTTCTAAACAGAGTTTAAAATTGTGCTTACAGTCCCATGTTGTGCTAAGTATAAAATATCGAATAAATTAATCATTTTAATTACTCTCAATTAATATCCATTGGGTAAAAAGAACTGAAGTAGTGTACAACCTAAACAACAAGCACAGCACTATAGGTGTGTTTGTCTTATACTATGCATTGTATGGTAATGCTGTTCAATTTATATGTTTGTATAGAATATGCTTTATATTGAATTTGAAACCATAAAATTTCACATACTGTAATCGTTATGTTCACTAAATCCATAACTGGAACCCACAATCCGACGACAAGTAATGAGAATATAAAGACTCTTGATAAGTATTTATTCGACCATAGAAATATATCAAACTGATATTTGAATACACCACACATTACTATGTGATTAATGTACAATCAAATTAACATTCAGATTTGTGTGAATTGAACTTAGTATTAAATATCAATTAATTAACTATTTGAATACATATTTACAATATCATACTGATCAATTTTCACACTGACCTAGTTTTCTCCCTTTCATTCTGTCGTATCTGAAGTATACATACGGGAATGTTATATAGATACCTAGCGAATGGGTTGAAAAGAGGCAGCAAATCAACAGAGTTTATCGAATTTGATATTATTTTATTCTTGATTCGTAATATAATTTTCATTTAATAAAATATAGGAAAGCATGACATTAGTTGCTTTATAGGTCATAAGTAAAATTCTGTGATACATTTTGCCAGTGGCTTTGCTTTCAATTGTTTGAGGATCGTATTTGCCTCAAATTTAGTTGGTTTATTTTCCATTTCACTGTAAAGTGTTTCCTTTATTCTGATTTCAACTGATTCAGGCCAAAAACATTTGAATTTAAAATGCAATATATTATCCATTAGAGTTAGTTTTCTTTATGAGCTGGTTTTCAAAGTGATCTCAATGAATGACGAAACCTCCCATCAAACACATTAGCGTTTGTACAAGAAGGCAACCAGTAGATATGCACCACATAAATCATTCGATTTGTGTGAGGGCTGGGATACTTTCCGGGTGCCCAAACCAAAGCAGATGGTTTACTTAGAGGGCCACAAACCGGAACTTTGACCTAAAGGTCTGATCTAAAGAGCGGTGGAACAATGTCAGGAGATGCAGTTCCATGATAGCCGGTGACTAATAACTGGTTCATACACATTTTGTCGCTTCAGGATTCTGGAGCCCGTGTGCACCATTGGTTTGTAATTAAAGTTTTGCAACTTCCCTAGATGGATATTCTGTATCTACCAACCCGGTTAAAGCGCTGGAAATTCGCTTTCTGTCCTCTCACTTTCGTAAGCGACACCCCCGCCACGACAAGGCAGTTGGTAGGACTTCCCTGGTAGTGGTTGTATGAACGTGGTCATTTGAGAGCATTTCGAGAGGGAGAGCTGACTCTTCACACTCTCGGTCGTACCAGAACATTTAAGGGGTCCTATTAGATTCGACTGATCCACACAAAATTAACCAACTATTATTCATCAATAAGGGTTGAGAAAGCTTTATAACTTTTGAATATATATATATTTGGTAAGCTATTAACTATCAGTTTTAAATCAATGATTAAATGTTCATTTTATATTCAGAACAATTTATTATATATTGTACGGTGTTTCATGTATTTAATTGATCACATCTAGTCAATTAGAAAAACGACAAGTTGTGAATAATTATAATAATTCTAGATAATATGAAGTTAAAAATATAATTTCCGTGAAAGAAATTTTTAAGCATAAATTTCCTTTGCATCAACTTGTTACTTTTTTTCAGTGTTTTTACAACGTAATCATCACCAGTCTGAAAATGAAATTTCAACCTAAAAAAAATGACACATCTGGTTAAAACAAAAGGATAAACGGGGATCATATTACTAGATTTCATAATCAAATATGAATAAAAATTGAATCAGGACTCATTTGTCACTAGGGAAGAGTTACCTTTATGGTGTTTGGACATTTAACGGGTGTTTTTTTCCAATCCATACGTATACAAAGTAACAAATTAAATGATAAAACCATTGGATGTATTGGGTATTTTCAATAAATTCCATACTACTAAACTACTTCAGTCCCCGCTATTCAAGACTACAATTGGTGAGAATATTTTGACAGACTTACTTCTCAAAAGGATTGCTTCCTCGTTATTTATAGTCACAAGTTTATTGTAGTCTATTTAGTATATAGTTAGTAATCGGGATATTGGAATCCCGTTTTTTCCTGCTTTAGATTGATCAGCTGGATGTATCTGAACCTCAGTAATGATTTTCATATTGCGAATTCGAACCACTAGTTTTTACTTCAACCCTAACGTTTTATCTACTTAGATAATATTTAAAGAAAAGATAAGTTGAAAAAACATGTTAAGTTATTGAAGTCGTGAATGTAAACATAGTGTTTCATAAGTATTGATCATTTTAACTGAACATTTTCTGCCGGAAATGTTTTGGGTAAAACTAACGTTTAACATTAGATTTCATAAAAGTTGTGATTTATATAAAATATTTTTTCCTTGCAAATGTCAGTACCTAGTGGCAAATAATACTTACAAAGTGATGTTGATTTACAGACTACTGTTTTTTTTGGTAACTGGTTTGAAATAAACTAATATGTTGTGTAGTTAGTAATAATCGACAAGGTTTTCTAGAATAGGGTCTCACGCTTGTTGGCACTAGTCAACAAGGTGTATCCGTAATCTTGAGGTAACCGATGTTCCAGGTAGGATTCGAACTGCCATCATCCGGCTTCATGGTCTAAGAAGTTACCAATGAGGTATTTGTGTCTCTACTGACCTTTAGCAAAACTGACTGATCAATAATTAGTGACCAATATGATATTCATTTTATTGCATAACATTTCAATCTATTGTACGAGATGCCGAGTCACTTCGACTAACGTCTACACTGTAAAGTAACCAATTAAGTTTGATCAGAATCAAAAATCTAGAGAACCATGACATTGGTCCTCTCCCAGTGACTATCCAATTGTAAACTAATATGATTTTTATTTACGCTTTTTACTTTTATTTAGAGATTAGTTATAATTAACTAACTAAAGTTCCGTTTTACAGTTTTGTATTCTCTGACCCATATCCTTCAATCTTAGTGATTTATTATCACTACAGATAATATTATAAGCGGTTACTTTAAATTTTAAACTTTTATTGTTGTACTATTGCTTAAATGTTGCTCTTTTTCCTGATTATCAAATGACGTCACATAACAATTACAT